AGGAGGCCCACGTTAGCCTCTCAGAATCAATATCAAGTAGCTCACAACCTCCTATAACTCCAGCTCCAGGCAATTTGATACCCTGTTCTGAACTCTAAAAGCACCTGCACTTTCACATGCACAAACACATGTAATTAAAAACAAATCTTTAGAAAAAAGTTTGTATGTGTCACACACACACACACACACACACCCCAAAAGAGGGCTTTGATCACCTGAAGCTAGATTTGCAGGCAGTTACGAGCTGCCAGCGTGGGTGCTGGGAATTGAACTTGGGTCCGCTGACAGCAATAAGTGATCTGTACCCAAGCCATCCCCTCCAGCCTTGAAAAAGTCCTTTTCACCAGGGATATGGCCCTGGTCAGTTGTCCATGCTCCAGTGAGTGGCACCATACCCACGTACATATGGGCTCAGTTTTGTCATATGATGTTTTGATGTAAGCTCTCTCTTGCGAGGGAGGTGACTCGCGAGAGAACATCTGTGGGTAGACTTTGAGGAGAGGAGCTATATAGAGGCTCTCACAGAGTGAGACGTCACTTTTTAGATCAACATTGCTGTGTTGATCTTCATGCTTCCACACTTGACTTCACAGAGAGAAACAATCCAGAGAACTTCTCGGGGCAATCCGACTGAGTCTTGCACCTTTTGCTGACTTTGTGTTGCTGCTTGGTGTTGGCCTTTGGACTGGTCTGCTGGTATCCTGATGACTGAGTTTGGTAATCCCCTAAGACCCATTGACCCTAATCAGGAGGAAGTAGATAGAAGAGGTCTACAGCCCTTTTCCCTACTAATCTCCTACCTAAGGCAGGGGGAGGGTGGTTGGAAGGGAGGTAAAAGTGTTTAAGAACCCTAAATAAGGTAGGTTTGGCAAAAATCTAAGCCTACGAGTTGTAAGAGTGATGCATTGGGTGTGGGATCCAAGAGGACATGAGGAACAGAAGGGAGGGGTGGATATCATGTAAGTACATCATAACCCTGTGTGAAATTCTCAATAAATAAGTTACATAAACTACAACCTCAAATGACAATACAGACTAGTCTTATAAATATGTTAATAAGTAAAAAAGCAGGATGATAAGAGTACAAATCACAAACCTACATTTCCATGAAGTTCAGAGACATACAAAAAAGAAGAAATAAAGTTCAAAACTGGGCAAAACAGACCTGTGGCTAGACCTCAGGACACTGGTTCAACATCCTTTGGAGGAGGAGTGACTAGAGAAGATCTGTAAGTACTGGTTTTACAGGTATACTCTGCCACATCCCAGCAAGTTACTAATTATCGCCTAGGAATTGTTTGCCTCTCTGAATGTGTATAAAGATAAATAGATTTTTTTTAATGACAAAACATCAGTCTTAGTCAATTAAGTCTATTAGCATACAAACAGATAGCAGTTGGGTTTATGTGCCAGGCTGGATAATGTGGTAATGTGGATAAAGTAATAAAGGGCTGGAGAGGTAGCTCAGTGTTTAAGGGCACTGCTGCTCTTCTAGAGGACCCAGGCTCAGCTCCCACCAAACACATGAAGCTCATAACTGTATCTCCACCTCTTTTGTATCTAGTATCATAACTGTATCTAGCACCCTCTTTTGTCCTCCATGGCCAGCGGGCACACACATGGTACACATACCTGTTAGATCTCAAACCCAGAATGACTGAGGTACTATTTAACATATCAAAGTAGACACTAGCTGCCAGGTTCTCCTTCCATCCCTCAGTCCCTACCTGTTACAGAGTATGGCTGTCATACCCTGGTCCCTCCCTTAAACTTCTTCAGCTCAGGTATTGGGCTGGGCTTCCCTCCCTGTAGCTGCCCTTCCCTACGTAATCCAACCACTTTGGTTACCTGGTCCTTTTGTCTACACTCATGACTGAGAAGCAATTTCTAAGTTTATACTTAGAAGACAACTAAAAGAAATTTAACATGTTGAACTTGTGATTATGATAATATTAGCAGTACTTTACCAGAGCTAGATTACTAGCTTATAAGAACTCCACTGATTAATGTTAAAACCCTGAACTTTTGAAGTCTTAGTGTAATAAACATATATAGAGGGAAAGAAATCTGAAACTTTTTTTATATACCTTAAGTCAATTTTATTTTTAATTACCTAAATTTTTTTAAATACTTAAATTCTTAGACCTTTATCACTTGTATTTACACAGATTAAAACACTTTCTTAGACCCTCACAACTTACTTAAGCTTTCACATACTCAGACCTTTTACCTACATGCAGGAAAAAATACTCATACATATAAAATAAAACAAATGTTAAAAAGAAGCATAGGGTAGCCAGGCAGTGGTGGGACAGCCATTTAATCCTAAGTACTCAGGAGGCAGAGGTAGGCAGATCTTGAAGGATGAAGAGGAGGAGGAAGAAGCCTAATGGATCCTGTAAAAGTCAGGGAATGGGGTTTCAGTACACGAGCACAGGTTAGCCCACAGGCCTGTATGCGGTGGAGAATGGGAGGTATGCCACTCAGTTACATGTCCGCAGGGCTACAACTGCAGTGGAAGGTATACTATGGAGACGCTATCCTCTGGGCAAAGAATGAACAGAATCTGCATGCCTGTACCACAGGTATCTTTAAAAAGCCCTGTTAGAGGGCTGGAGAGATGGCTCAGTGGTGAAGAGCACTGGCTGCTCTTCCAGAGGCTCTGAGTTCAATTCCCAGCAACTATATGGTGGCTCACAACCATCTATACTGCGATCTGATGCTCTCTTCTGGCCTGCAGGTGTATGAAGTCAGAGCACTCATGTACATAAAATAAACAAATCTTAGAAATAAAAAAGTCCAGCTAGAAAGTAGGAAACTGAGGCCAGGCAAAAGGAACTTTAAGAAGAGAAAACATGAAGCCTGGCCTGAGCCCTGGCATAGCCCCATATTGCATGATTCATTCAAAAACAAGAAAAGCAGTTCATCAAATTGTTGAAAGGTACTGTTGAGAAGATGAAAAGACAAAGTACAAAGTGGGAAGTACAAGGCACATGCCTGGGAAACGCATGTACGAAGAGATACTTGTTTTCAAAATAAAGAATTTTCAAAGGAATGCTGAGAAAATAAACAGCTAAATCATATAATCTAAAAAAAAAAAGTGGAATGAAACTTCAAAGAGGATAAAGAGTCAGCAACATGTAAACACAGGCAAAATCAGGGAAATGAAATATACTTTTAGTACAGCTTAAAAACAGACAAGAAAAATTATCAAGTGTTGAGCCACACATGGTGGCATACACCTGTAATCCCAGCACTTGGAAGGGGCAAGAGGATTATAAATTCAATACCAGCCTGAGACAGTGAGAACCTGTCTCAAAATATTCACTCCCCAAATTGGGGAAAAATAGCAAGTATTGAGAAGGATGTGGGCAAGTCTCGCACACTGCTAGTGGAAATGCAATACAGTATATCATTTGGGAAAATAGCTTCACAGACTCTTACAAAGTTAAACATGCCCTTGCCATACAACTCAGCACTATCTCTAGGTACTTAGCCTACAGAAGTCCGCAAACCTTTTCTTGAAGGACCTAATAGGAAATGTGAAAGGATTAGAGGCTATATGATTTCCACTCCAATCACCCTACTCTGTCACTATACCATGAAGTCAACTATACACAGAATGTAAAAGAATGGGCATGAACATGTGTCAATAAGATATTTCAAACATTCATTAGTCATAGTTAGCCCATTCTTGAGAGAAATGAACCATCCACACAGAAGCGTTGTACCAGAAAGACTTGGCCAGGTTAGGATTCCAGAGAGAACTATCAGTAACACAGACATGCAAAATGGGGTCAGCTGCTGCTGGAGTACAGGCATGAAGCCTCAAATCTTGTCAGACTCAGAAGCTTTAAATGACTGAGGGGGAGACAGCAAAGCAATAAAAAGAAAAAAAAAATTCGTGGTTTCCAAGAGAGAAGTCATCTGTCTGTGGGAGAGGCCCCTCTTGCCGGTAAGAGAAAGAATAACTGCTTCCGAAAGAGGAGCAGCAGTGAAAGCCCCTGGTTCCGTGGAAAGAAGCATTCATTCGGCCTATGATCGTATGCCAGCACTGAGCAGTGCTGGCACATGTCTGCAAGCTCAACTACTTGGGAAGACAAGGCAAGATGGTCACCATTTTGAGGCAGCCTGTGTAACAGAGTGAGACACCCCCACACGCCCCATAACATACAGAAAAATAATCATCGAAGCAGAGAGATGCCTCAGATGTAAACAGCAAATACTTGCAGAGGACATAAACATGGTTCCAGGAACTCGTCTGGGCCTGTATCTCCAGCTCTAGGGTATCTGGTGTTCCCAGCCTCCTAAACTCATGTGTATACACACACACACACACACACACACACACACACACACACACACACACACACACTTAAAAATAATAAAGATATCTTTAAAATAGTAATAATAATCCCAAATCCAGTCCAAGTGTTGATTAACATTGAATTTGTCTCCCACAGTAACAGCATGATAAAAGGTTGACCACGAGTTACTCAATATTTGCTTTAGTTTGCTTTCCCGCAGGCAATGCCTACAGTTCAAAGATGAACAGCATGCATGCATACATACATACATACATACACATATAGTGACCTTTTCTGACCCCCATAGGTACTGCACACACATGGTATACAAACATACATGAAGGCAAAACACCCATACACACATAACTTTAAAAAAAATATTTTATATCTTTAAAAAACAGAAAACACAATTGTAAAATTGTAAGGAAAAATTTTAAACCCATGGAGTAAAAATTAACCACAAAGTAACAAATTTGTAAATCAGAGGCTGTAGAGACGCCTCAGTGGTTATGACTACTAGCTGCCCTTTCAGAGAACCTGGATTCAATTCCCAGCACCCACATGGCAGTTCACAACTATCCAAAACTCCAGCTCCAGGGGATCTGACACCCTCACACAGACACACAGGCAGGCAAAACACCCATGTACATAAAAATAAATAAGTAATTTTTAAAAATTTGTAAAACAGCTTACCTAGATGCAAATTCACTTAATTCTGAATATTCTGTGGGTTCCATTATTATACTGAGGTCAGTTATAACAGAAGATAATTTCCCTTCAGTCTAAAATAAAGATAAAAAGTTTATGTACAAGAGCAGACTATCTTTTAAACTAGACAAAAATACTTTAAAATATGCAAATAGAAAGTTGATAGGAAATGATAAGATATTGTTATTAAATAACTTAAATCATACACTCAGTACTTACTAAAACCTAAAATTATTTCCAAATTAGTTACTTAAGTTGAATACTGACATTGAATAATGATATTAGGAGAAATGAATTTTTAAAAACGTTCTAATCAAGTAGTAGGAAAAACCAGCAAATATGATTACATAAAATTCAGAATATCGCCAGGGGGTGGTAGTACACACCCTGGAACCACCCTGGAAATAGCTCTATAGATGAGCCCAACCTCAAACTCGAAGATCCACCCGCCTGTGCCTTTCAGAGCTGAATTAAAGGGTGCGCCAGCATATCTAGTGATGCTCCAGAGACATTCTTACAGCTCAAATTTTAAAAAGATAACATAATTAATAACTGGGCAAAGGATTTGAATAGACATTTCTCCAAAGACAATATACAAATAGGCAGTAACCAATTGATGAAGAACATATTGTCATTACTGTTCTTAAAACAAATAAATATATACAAACATGCATACACATATATGTACAATATGGATCCTTGCAAACTTTAGCTGTGCTGTCAACTTTGAAAAAAAAAGTATCTCAGTTTGCCATACTGAGTTGGCACTATACAGAAATTAATAGCCATAATGGTCTGAGAATGTTAAATTTTTCCTATCTGTATAGGGTTAATACATTGTTTTAAAAATGTAAGTTCTTACCTACGTGAATTTGATCATAAAACTAAAATAAACTTAACCCCCCAAACCAAACAACAACAAACCCCCAAACAAAAGACAAATAGGCAGTAACCACAGAGGAAATGATGGACATATCTGCCATTATCTAACAGTTCCATCTGATCTAGTAATTGTATTCCTAGTCACACAGCCGATAATCTGTATAAATCTGTATAATAAAGCCGATAAATCTGTATATCCACTTAGAACCTTCACAGGAGTGCTTAGAACAGCAGTAGTCATACTACCCTGAAACAGAAACAACTTCACCAACTGCTGAAATGGACGAAAAGTGGTACATCCACACATAGGATATTATGTAACCCCCCAAAAAGTACTAACACATGCTATACCAAGGATGAGCATACACATAAATAAATGTACATACATATGTATGTACAATATGGAGCCTTGTAAACTTTAGCTGTGCTATCAACTTTGAAAAAAGAGCTTCTCAGTTTGCCATGTAATTGAAACACGATAATAAAAAAAGAAACCAGATACAAGAAACCAAACATTATGATTCAATTTCTATGAAATGCTCACAGTGGGAAAATAAATAAAAAATAGATAAGTGGTATTTTAGGGCTGAAAAAAGGAGGAAATAAAGGGTTTATCTCAATGAAGCTTTATCTTAAAAAATTGTTTTAAGGAAAAAAATAGAGAGTTGAAGTAATTAACAGCACTTGCTGCTCTTGCAGAGAACCTGTGTTCAGTTCTCTGCATCCTCACGATGACTCACAGCCTCTTTAATGCCAGTTCCATGGGATCCAATGTTCTTCCCAGGATTCCAAGCACAAACATGGTGCACATTCACATAAAGTAAAATAAATAAATAATCTTTAAAAAGAAAGAAAAACAGAAAGACGCGCGCGCGCACGTATGTGTGTGTACTAGATTTTTGGCCTTTTATCTACTGACATAGGCAGGTCAGTTTGGGATTTATTGCCCCAACTCACACATCTCTACAAGGTTATAGATTCTGCTTAGCCAGGGTGAAGGTGACTCCAAAATACTGTTTTCCATCCCTACCATGCCATCGCTACTGTAACCATGTCACTCCTGAATTGATAAAAAAAAAAGAAAAGGCATTATAAATACCATGGACGTCCACTTCCTTGAAGCCTCAGGTCATGATCTTCTATCATGTTCTTTTAATAGCAGGTCTCAAACAGACTCTTATGATTTAAGAACTATGAATAGAACTCTTAAAAAAAAAAAAAAAGGTCCTAGGGTCAGCTCATACCTGCAAGTCCCAGTATTCAAGAGTCCAAAGCTGGAGAACTGGCACAAGTAAGTGGCCAGCCTGGACTACACAGTGAGTTCTAAACCAGCCCAGGCTACAGTGTGAGAGACCTTGTCTCGACCTTACCCCTAACACTTTGCCACCAAAAATATTTAGAAAGATACTAGTCTTGCAAACTGTAAATACTTTTAAGGCAGGAGTCAGTTTCCCATAGGCAATAAGAGAAAAGGTCCATGGTCAATCTGCAAGATGGTCAAATAAGCATGGGTACGAAAGAGTGTAATTCAATCAACAGCCAACATGACACAAGACAAGATTAGGGACCAGCAACAACTACACGGTCAGCGACCTGTAATGCCAGCCAAAGTTAGTGGCAGCCACCAGACCTGATAAGGTTGGCAGCTGACAAAGAAATTTAAAAATGGACAGAAATGGGCTTCAATGGGTGATCACTACCATATTGGGCAAACAACATGTGATCACCTCCAGGTGAGCCAGGGAGCTATTTGCAGAGCCTCCTGGCTCTGTGTCTGCTTTGCCCAAACGATATACCTAGAGACAAACCAAGCTGTAACACAAATTATCTCAGTCTTTGCCCAGTTTCTGTCGTTAAGTCCTAGATGAAGTCTCTAGACACCAGCTTAGCACTTTGTTCCTTTCTCAGGAGACTTCACAGTTTGAGGAGTTGCTCTAATTTTTCCATAATGTCTCATTTTTCCATAATGAATCTGCTTTGACTTTGCTTATTCCTCCTTTATCTGCAGTTTTTTTATTGATGTGAGATAAGGAACTTAAGACACTGTCTCAGGTTGACTTTTGGTGACTGTTGATTAGTAATCACCCTAGTACCTGAGTCAAGCCTTTCTGGCCGACTTTAAAAATGGGCACCATCATGAAACAAAATGTATTAGGTATTCAATGTTTGTGTTCAAATATTCAAATAAGCATATTATCTTTGAAGCCTGTGATGATGAAATTATATTATGTACATTTTTAAAGTGGCTACTTTTTAGTAGTTTTGTTCACAGAGAGAAATTATGTAAACACACTTTAGCATCCTACAAACTCCCACCCATCTGACTTACACTGCAAAGACTGTGGAAAGCTGATACTGTCTGCGCATTTGTTCTGAAGGTTTTAAAACTCTTCACAAGCACTGCAGTGCTGACAACACCAGGCAGTCAACTGGAGGAAACAAATTCTATGTTCCAAACACCTTTGACAAGGACTGCATCAATAGAAGCAATGACTCATACTCTCTATATAGATTTCTCAATCTTTCTTTCTAACATTCTACTAACAGAACTTAGCTAGTTTTATGTCGGCTTGACAGAATCTAAGGACAATGAGCTGTAAGCAATTTACTGAATTAGTGATTGATGTCAGGGGGCCCAGTCCACTGAGGGTGGTGCCACCCCTGGGCCGGTAGTCCTGGGTTCTATAAGAAGGCAGGCTGAGCAAGCCATGCAGAGCAAGGCAGTAAGCAGCACCTTCCATGATCTCTGCACCAGCATCTACCTTCAGGACTCTGCCCTGTTTGATTTCCTGTCCTGACTTTCTTTGATGATGAACCGTGATATGGAGGTATAAGCCAAATAAACCCTTTATTCGCCAAAGTTGCTTTGGTCATGTTGTTTTATCACAGCATTAGTAACCCTAATTAGGACAGGCACTTTGGTTAAAAAATTATATCAATATTTATTATGTGAGTATAAGAATTTCTAAGACTGAAATGTGTTATTTAAATCTTTTATTTTTTTGACAGCTAAACATCTCCCTCTAGTGGAATGTTTGATTTCAGGAAAAAAAAAAAAGAAAAAGAAACCCCCTTCCCACACACACACACACACACACACTAACCTGTTGCTCGATCTTAACTTTTTTTCCTATCAAGTTCAAAAGTAAAAATGTATGCAATAAGTCAGGTGGTAGGTGCACAGGTCTTTAATCCCAGCACTCGGAAGGCAAAAGCAGGCTGATCTCTGAGTTGAAGGCTAGCCTCATCTACAGAACTACAGACAGCCCAGGCTACCCAGAGAAACCCTCCCTCAAACAAACAAAAACAAACAACTCCGTTTGATTTAGTTTGCTTTTCTGTTGTTGTGATAAACACCATTTCCAAAAGCAACTTGTAGGAGTAAAAAGGTATGTTACACTTTCAGGTCACTCAGGGCAGGAACTCAAGCAGGAACTCAGCAGCAATGGTGGAGGAATGCTGCTCACTGGGCTGCTCACTGGGCTGCTCACTGGGCTGCTCACTGGGCTGCTCACTGGGCTGCTCACTGGGCTGCTCACTGGGCTGCTCACTGGGCTGCTCACTGGGCTGCTCAGCTACATCTCTTATACAGTTCAGAGCCATCTGCCTAGAGATGGTGTCATCATAGTGGGCTGGCCATCCACATCACTCATCAATCAAAACAATTCCCACAGACAAGTGCCCAGGCCAATATGATCTCAAAATTCTTCTCTCTTCCTTTCCAGGTGACTCTAGGTTATTTAAGTTAACAATAAAAACTAATCAGCACAATAGTAAAAGGACTTTAGAAGCTAGCTAAATTTATCCGTCAAACTAAATTTAAATGTCTACTTCCTTTGGCAGAGCAATTCTAATTTTTTCAGGATTTACTTTAAGCGTGTGAGTATTTTGCCTGGAAGTATATGTGTATGCCTGGTACCCTCAGAAGTCAGAAGAGAGTACTGATTCTTTAGAATTGTAGTTTCAGATAGTTGTGAGACATCATGTGGTATCAGGAACTGAGCTCTGGTCCCCTGCAAGAGCCATCTCTTTAGCCTCTCACCTAGTATTTCTATAATAGAAAGACTTTTAGAAACTACACAGAGACTCTAATCCAAGTACTCAGTAGGCTGAAGCAGACAGAAGATGAGTCAAGGCCATGCTGAACAAGGTTCATGGCAAGACTTACCCCTCATCTTCCCCTGCACCATATACATACAAACACACACCACTTAAGTAAGAAACTAATAAAAAAAAAAAAAACCCACTTCATTTTATCAGAGTTCTAAGTAACAAAGAAAAATTAAAAGGGCCTTTGTCTCCTTTCTTTCCAACCAATAACTCCTTCCTGTATAATAACTCCTATATATAACTCCTTCCCTAAGGTCCTATTAATTCCACAGCTACCTGAAATTCTTTCCAAAATCTTACTTGGTAGTGATTCTTTAATAAGAGTCTTAACATTTAAAAGGCTCAAGGAAAATGAGTGCTCTCAACAGAGCCAAGCATGCTTTTCTGCAACACATTGTTAGCAAAACCAAGTAGTCATCAAATGCCTGCGTAATTTTAAACGTGAACAACAACAATACCCATCTTTTTGGGTATTCAGTCGCAGTATTCAGTCTTTTCAGAATGCCAACAGTTCCTTTCACATTCTTTCACATCCCTCTGGTACATAAAGTAGACACCATTAGTTGTGCCTAATGCCTTCTTGCCCTGAAATTTCACTGGCTTATGGTGACAAAAGTATGTAACTAAAATGAAGTTAAAATACTGTAGTTACGGACTGGAGAGATGGTTCAGTGGTTAAGAGCACTGTCTGCTCTTCCAAAGGACCCAGGTTCAATTCCCAGCACCCACATGGCAGCTCACAACTGTCTATAATGTCAGTTCCAAGGGATCTGACGACTTCAAACTAATGCACATAAAATAAAATTAAATAAATAAAGAAATACTGTAGTTTGAGTCCTCTCTTAGGCCAGCCCAACTAATGAGAACACAACAAATGTTTGGGCACAACACATCCTGAAAAGCACAACTCCACTTAACTCCTTGCTCAAATCAAACTCAGGAGAGTCTGTTTTCAATTGGATTTGTGCACAAGCCTTGCAAGTACAAAACCTTTCTCCAGATAAACCCTGAAATAACTGTGAAAGACGTGAACACCTATAGCAGAAAATGCCTGTAAGGCCAACAGGATACCAGAGTTAATTCCCAGAGTACAATTCTTGACTACCGAAGTCCTAAGAGAAGAAGCTAAACCTGGCTTTACAATACCCCCAAGTTGCCCTAGGTTATAGTCTGAGCCCATAAACGGATACTACATAAATGCAGGAAAACAGATGGCAAAGCACGAATGAGGTGAGGATCACACTGGCCAAAACCAAAGAAAATTCAATTGGTCAGACTATATAATTATTTACAATGGGAAAAACCTAAGAGTCTGTAGGTCACAGAAAGTAAAACACGGATAGCCTTAAAACAGGCTTCCAACATGAATGACATCATCAATCTGGGCTCATGCTCCAGTCCTGTCTTTGACAGAGATCTTCATGGCCATACAGTGCTGTCTCAGTGACCCTGTACAGCCCTAAGGGTTGGTGCCCATGGGGATCAGCATAACTTACATAAGATCACTCACCAATTATGCCTAGACATATGAAAATGTTAACTGTTGTGTGAGCCAAAGTTCCCAGAAAGAAGCCACACTTTCAAGAGGAAACCTTCTCCAAGACTGATTAACCCATTAGAGCTTCAAAGATTATAGAGAGTTTGGAATGTTTCAACTCCAGAGCCAAATTACAATTTGTCCTGGGCTACCTTTAGTCCCCTAAATAGCCATTCCTTACCTTCCTCTGTATTGGACCCAACATCCTGTGGCTAGCATATAAAAACTTTAGAATCTATTAACTTTTAACAGAGCACTAGCTTCCACTAACCCAACAGCTAAGAATGTCATCAGACAGCAGTGAGGCCTATAACTGACATCTCCCCACTTTACTGTATCTCCTTAGACATGAGAATTGTATTTTTGAATCAACAAATGTATTTTGTTCAATGGATATTTGAAATGCCACATTGCATTTTTTTTTTTTTTTTTTTGTCACATTGGTTGAACAAAACACTGATGTGAGTGAATTTTGGAAGCTCTGTCATCAGAAGAGAACTAGATACCCCACAGCCCATTTTTTAGCCTCACCCTATTCCTGCCCCAGGCCCGTGATAGCAAATGACATTGACAGCAAAGAGCAAAAACTCAAAGCTTAGGTACCTGGACCTCATTCTTAGACTTGTATTATATGGCTCTCTAACATGTAATGACACAGGGTACTGACTCAGTCACTGACTTCTTCCTATACAAAAGAGTCACAAACTGGGCATTGTTTAATGGCTATGGAAACTGACTAGAACAAAGAATCCTGGAACTTGAGACAAGTGCTTGAATATAGCTTGTCTATAGAACCTGAGGTGACAACTGCCTTTCCCCACTTCATCCATCTGATGACCTGAGGCTAAGACAGTCTTTCTATCTTTCCTGGCTCTGTTCTTTGTACAAATTTCTTGTAAGCCCAGAGAGCAAAAATCAAGTGGCTAAAACTTCTGCTATCAAAGCATGTGCCCAGCTTGGTTGGCTCTCAAAATTATGGCTAGATTCGAATCTTTTCTGAGGCATCCTCTGGCTGTTTCACCTAGTCTATCCCAGCCAATGGAGTTATGTATGACTCATTATTCTGTCTGCTTCATTATCTTAAAGAAAATCTAAGCCACAGGCACGTCCTCCTTGTGTTGTTCACTAGTCCAGAACAACCTGCAGCATCATCCTACCTCAAGAGTCTTTCAAGATGGCTGTGGTTCCAAGATGACACAAGAGGCCCTACACATGAATACCCACTGGCTCCCACATTCCTGACACATGCAAAAGTTATAATATTTTTTGTTGTTTCAACATGATGCGTGAGAAATTTGTTACACAGCAAATAATTAAAAGAAAAGAGCTTGCCTATAATAAGAACTTTTCCTGTTTTAGTTTCTGTCTCAGAGGGTTACTGCCTCTACCAGTTAACCTAGGCCTAGTCCTGAAGCTTCAAGGCTCCCCACCATCTAACCCAGGCGTAGGATGCTTTCAGCCTCTGAGACTTACTGCTGAATGAGCTCATCCTTTCTTGTTCTTACTGAGATCTGAGCTGACTGATTCAACTCAGCTGTTCTGGCTCAACTCCTCTCCTAACTGACTAATTCAATGTGGCTTCTCTCTTGGCCCCTAAATGGCTCTGCTTAGCCTTAAACTAACTCAAGCAATGTGCTCCATCTCCTGGCTCCTTCTCATTCTCTGGCTCATTCGGTCTTCACCTGAGTTCTCTCTCTCTCTCTGCAACCTGTCTCTCTATTACTGTCCAGGTAAAAACTGCTTTCTCTTTCTCTGCATTGCCCCTTCAATAGTTTCCCTTTCTTCCCTCTTCTCATGAGAGTTGGGCATATCCTATTCTGTCAAATATGTGGAGAGCTGCTTGTTTGTCAAGCTGCTTTGATACCGAGTATTCAGCGAAAAACATGTTTTCACCCTGGCCTTCTCCTTGAGACAGAGACAGGTTTTGCCAAGTTCCTTTAACTTGTTTATGTGACCTTGGATCATATCTGTTACAGGGAAGTAGTTTAAGAAAACAAGTTTGGCATTTCCATGAACTTCTTTTTTTGTATTGATGTGACTTGTTTTGCTTTGCCTATAAAAAGGAATTGTAGAGTAAACTCCTGGCTGCAGTTTTTACTGACAGCCCTCTCTAGCTGATCCAGTATGTTTTGCTTTATTTTTTTTCAAACCTCACTCCCCACTCAGGTACTGTTCAACTTTGCTCAAGCACAAATCTTTCTCTGATTTGTCATCTTTTCTGTCACTCAATTAGGCATCACTTCCAAACATGAGTGCTTCCTTCTAGGAACTAGCTTTACCTTCATCATTTGGGGTTAAGGTGTGTACCACCATACCTGGACCTAAGCTTTTCTTAACCTGAAACTTGTTCTGTACCAGGCTGGCCTTGAACTCAGGTCTGCTTCCCTCTGTCTACTGGATTAAAGGCATGTTTATATTCCAGCCAGATCACACAGACCTAGAAGGCCTTTGGATGTGATCTCTTGCCAGAACAGCCAGGTTCTGAATGAACATTCCTCTACAGTTGCTCATTAGCTAACTGCTAATGGCATGCAAAACTACGTCCACAACCTCAGAGACTTCCAAGTGAGGCCTAAAACCATCTCCTACCTGGCCTAAAATAAAGCACTTATAGGCTCAACACCAATTCCATCATATTCAGTTGAGAGGATACTCTTTAAAATTTCATATATGATACAAATGTGCTAAAAGGAACCCTGGCTTCTGCACTTTTCCTCATCTCAAACACTGTAGCAGATAAGTATATGCAATATTTCTCATAGGGAAAAAAAAATCTGTTATCATCACAAGCTCTAGTTACCTCAATTTCCAGAACCTGAAATTCCAGTTGAAATGTAACCATGTTGCAATTTCCTGATAATCTGTGTCTCTGTAGAACTTTCTTTGTATCTGTTAATAAGAAAATCAAACATTTTATTTAAAAAAATACTTTTCATTAAATACTTAAGTGAATGTCTACTTGTGAATAGATGTATGAAAATATACATTAGTAATTGCTTTAGAAAATCTGGAGCATCATGTCAAAGTAACTGACCTTATAAAATATGATTACTAAAAATTTATAATTTCAAGTTATCAAGTATATTAATGGTTAATAAATAGAAATACATACATACATGTATTTATGTATGTGTGTGTGTATATATATATATAAATAAAGTGATTAAGATTTATTTAGTATTAGTGTGTGTGTATATATATACGTTTATTTAATATTAGTGTGTGTATATATATACTAATACTAAATAAATCTGAATCACTTTAACTTTTATATATTTTTATTTTCATTATTTACTTATTTCTATATAGTTCTTGCTGTCCTGAAACCCACTATGTAGACAAGATTGGCCTCAAACTCAGAGATCCGCCTGCTTCTGCCTCCAAATTACTGGGATTAAAGGCATGTACCACCATGCCCAGTCTTTAATTTTGTGGCTGTGTATGTGTGATGCATGTAGAGGTCGGAGGACAGCTTGAATGATCAGTTCTCTTCTTTCAGAATTCTGCTAGTTTCAGGGAGTAAATTCCGGTCATTATTAAACTGTGTTAGTACCTTTATTTGCTGAGCCATCCATCTTGCCTATCTGTTTGAATGTTTTTCAATATTAATTTGTTGTTTGTACAGGTTTACCTTGACATTACTGTAATCACCACACTTGTACCACAGTAATATTACCTGTTTTTTCTACAGTTTCCAAACAACCTCAAGACCATTATAATCATATATAGAGTGTTATTTCTAGCCCCTGGCTCCTTATATACACCTGACTCTAATATCAAGACAAAGAAGGTAGACTCCTGCCAGGAAGAAGTTACTTTTGTCCTAAGCTATTAATACCCCAATCTTTCTAATCCACATTTCAAAGATTCAATTGGCATTTACCAATACCCAGAACCAGACATCTATAAGCTGCACTCTGCAATTCCAAATCTTCATGCCTCTTATACTTTTGTTTCATGGCCTTTGTGGCTGGTCTCACAAATTACTACCAAGTTGTTTCAAGAAATTGCTAAAAACGATCAATTCAACCTATGTTTAGCTTTTTTAACCCTCAAATTTCCACTAACGGTGTGCATGGTGTTACCCATCTTTAATCCCAGCAGTGGACAGAAGCAGGCAGAAGCAGGTGGATCACAGTGTGTTCCAGACTAGCCAGGGCTAAAGAGATAACATTTTTTTTAATAAAAATAAATAAATGTCATAAAAATGAGTTTAAATGGAATGTTTGAAATATAAGAAGCATAATTGAAATGCTTAAAACACAATAATCTTAACAGCTCAATCATTTTCCATGTGTTTACTCATATAACCAGCACCCAAATCAAGATGTACCATTTATAGTACCTTGTAAGTTTCTTTTACCTTTTTTCACAGACTATACCTGATCTCCCAAGAGGGCTGGAGAGATGGCTCAGAGGTTAGGAACACTTGCTGTTTTTCCAAAGGCCCTGAGTTCAATTCCCAGCAACCACATGGTGGCTCATAACCATCTATAGTAAGATCTGGTGTGCAGGCAGAATGTTGTATAAATAATAAATAAATCTTAAAAAATTATTCTGACTACATGGAGGTATATAGTTTACTAATGAAGTTCTTTTCAGGAGGACACAATTCTACAAAGATAGAGACCAGGAAAAAAAGGAACACCTTCATTTTGGAAGCTGGAAACCAGATCGATGAATTAGGTAAGTAAGATAAGGTAAGATCTAAGAGAATTGGAATCTAATGCAACAAGGAAAACACAGAAACAAGTCCATTTACATAGGATGTCAGAGAGGCATTCTGAATTGGGCTACCAATTGCTCTACAGGTGGTGATAAATTCAGACTGCTGGATGTGGTTGTACACACCTGTAATCCTACCACTTGTGGGGCTGAAGCAGGAGTATTAGGAGTTTGAGAGCAAAACACAGAGGGAAGGAGAAGGAATATCCAATTTTGAAACTTACTATTAAGCGATTATAATCTAGACAATGGGGTGTTGGCAAAAGTATAAGGTAAACAGATAGAAAGGACAAAATAACCAAGAAATACTCAGAAATATAGTAAACTGATTTTTGATAAAGAAAAAAAGGCAATCAATGTAGAAAAGGTACTACTCCATTTGAAAAAATATGTTGGACATCTGAATGCAGAAAATAAATCTAAACACTGACTTCTCAACTTTTATAAAATTTCAAAACAGACCACAGATATGTCAGCATTTCTCCTGACACAACTGTCCCCTAACAATATCTTCTGCCCTAAATGCCTTCTCTTCTCGTTCTAGACATACATAATAAAAACAAAAATACAGGATTCATAGAATAGAATACTGAAGAAAATCTAGGTAATTTGGGGCGTTGTCAGTAAAAATCAAAGGACCAGACTGGTGAGAAGGCTTAGAGAAGTCAAAATGCTTGGCATCATGTAGCTGGTGCTTGCTACTTTGTGAGCTCTTTCTTCCACCCATTTTCTTCAACCCTTTCAACCTCCTAACACTAGATATTAGAGAAAAAAGGATGAAGAGGAAAGAAAAGAGATCCCTGAATAAATTCAGGGGCTGGAAAGGAGACAATGTTATCATTAGACTACTTCCTGCTGATTAAGTATCAAGTTCCTTGGTGAAAGTTTAATCTTTCTTGTCAGGATATCTAATTTCTTCTTGTAGTTTCTTCTTTGTGTATGGCTACTTAACAGCAATCAATAACCAATCTATGGGATCTAGCATTTATATGCCCTCTGAAAAGTTCCCAGAATTCCTCCCAGAAACAACCTACAGCTGGCACAACGAGGCCTCTGCTAGAGCCTGAGGGAGACCATAGTCAGCTGCTGCAAAGCAGCCCCATACCCCACACCCAGGATTAAGATGAAAACATTCTTTTAACAGCTGCATGTTTTGTTGTTGTTGTTGTTTTAAAGACAGGATTTTTCTGTGTATCCCTGACTGTCCTGAAACTCTCTCTGCAGAGGCCTCAAACTCAGAGATTCCCCTGCCTCTGCTGGGATTAAAAGTGTGCACCACCATTGCCTGGCTCAGAGAATTTATTTTTCATTGTGATAAAGTTTATTTTTCTAGAAAACTGGGAATACATGGGAGCACAAAGAAAAAAAAAAAAAAAAAAAAAAAAAAAAAAACTATATGCCACTACCCAAAGACATTTGTTTTACTAAAAAATTCTAACATTTTCTCCTAGCCTCTTTCCTTTGAATACCAGTCACCAGAATGCATTCATACTACATCTCATTTTAATACATGTGTTTTGCCATTGTGTAATGTAGAGACCAGCATATGAAATCATCACTTAATAATTATCATTCATGTTTAGAATTATTAAAAGAAATAGAAGGTACTGTAGGATGAAGTTTTTTAGTGAAAATCACCTGAGAGTAAAATTCACAGCAAATTCACACACAAAAAAGTCACTTAATTTGAAAAGACTTGTTAAATTTGAACAGACTTTTTATTTGTTTGTTTGTTTCCCTGTGTAACAGCCTTGGCTGTCCTGGAACTCTCTTTATAGGCCAGGCTGACTCCAAACTCAGAGACTGGCATGCCTCTGCCTCCTGAGTCCTGGGATTAAAGGCATGTACCACTACAGCTGGTACCCAATTAATATTTTTTTTTAACTAAAAGGTAAGGATACAGCTACGGGATAGATCAGCTGGTAGAGTTTTTGCCTTTTAAGCATGAGGACCTATATTAGCTCCTTGGAATACAGACTGAAAAGGGGGCGGGGCAGGGAGAAATCTGCAAGGAGTTGGAAGGGAAGGACCGAGAGCTGTAGGGCCAGCTAGCCTGGAGTACGTCATGCAGTAACTACAAGAGAGACTTTGCCTCAACAACATGGAGAGAGAACAGACCCCTGAACGTTGGCCCGTGATCACCATAAGCACACTGTGATGAGCACACCCCACCCCAACACACACTCATAGTAAACTTTAAAAACCACAATCAGGTTAAAAATAATGCTTACCCTTTTCTGTCACTTCAGTGTTTACAGCGTCCTCGACCTTGGAATAGTTTCTTATATTGATGCCAGTAAGTTTACTCAGAAATGAGAGTTCAGATCTTAAACGTCCAAGCTGACTTTCCAGGTCTGTCAAGGATCTCCCAGAATCTGACTGGGAAGTTTTCTGAAATGATTTCCTGAAAAGCAAGTATCAGAAACAGTTACTTGACAACCAGTAAAGGACTGACTATGTAATTTTTGCTCTAGAATCCACCCCTAGTCCAAAGGTGGGGCTTCCAGAGAACCCAGTTTTCTCTCCAGTAACCACATGGTGGCTTACAACAGTCTGTAACTCCAGTTCCAGGGGGTCTCATCCCTATTCTGGCCTCCAGTGAGCACCGGGCACACGTGTAGGATACAGACACATATGCAGCCAAAACAGGGACAGTCTGAGGCTTGTTGAGCTTAAAACTTCCCAAGTAAAATGGCAGACTATCAGCTGCCTCTGTATGACCTGATGAAGAAGTGTCATGGTAAAAAAAATAAATAAAATAAGCTCTATTCCAAGAGAAAACACTTCAGAAATACAGGAAAAATGGAAATCATATTAAGCAAAAAAGATAAATACTAGTTTTCTTTTCTGTGAAATCCAGATTTAAAGTTCTCTGTGTTGTGTGTGTGCGCATGCACGAATGTGCTGCCTGTCAATCCAATCAACCATTAAGATAATTTTAAGAGCATCTTGGAGGATTGGCAAGATGGCTCTGCAGGTAAAGTACTTGCTGCACAAGCCTGACACTGAAGTTTCATCCCCATTAGAAGGCGATAGCTGACACTTCAAAGTGTCTGTTCTATACTCTCAACTCAGTATACATGCTATAGACTCAATAGATATGCTATAGCAAACACAAACAACAATAACTTTAAAACATTAAGTACATTTCTCCATCTTTCGTCATCACAGCGAGAAAATTTTCACATTAAATCCACATATTTTGGACTAATGTCTTCCCTAATCAGACTCTTAACTCTCAACTCCATTACTGAGGAGCCCAGATTAAACAGATCTACTATATATCATACAGGCTTACATTGACATCTTGTGGTGAGTGAGGAAACTACTTTTTCACACAGTGCTTCTGAAGCTTTTAAGTGTGCATACAAAAGGTATAGCTGCAAGCTGTCTTGATAAAATATAAATTCCAATTCAGTAAGAACGGACAGAGCCTGGCAGCCTCACCAACTCCCAGGTTATCCTAATGTTTCCAATATGTGGGTCACACCTGAGTCCGTAGCAAGGGTCTCACAATTCTTGTGAAAGAGTGCATATTGGCCAGTGCACACACATTTCCCTCATTCTTTCATCAGTCACAACTTTCTCTTATTTGATTTTCTTCAGGATTCTCCACATTTTTCTGCACGCCTAAGGTACTGTTTTGCACAGGAAAATCTCATTCTCTGCACCTGCACCAAATCATACCTAATAAAATAAAGTTTCCATGTTTAAGATACTAAATTACTGTAATTTCCAGCCTTCCTTCTTTCTTCTTTGAATGGAGAAGAATGCCTGGACTTTGGATTTCTCCAGGACCTTTGATAACCTATTTAACTTCTCTGACACTCAGGCTCATTACCTTTAAAGAAGGTTACAATAGCACCTAATCCAGAGGATTATCACACTCCCCTAAAGATGGTATTAGCCACATATCAATTTACTTCACCTAAGCCATTTGTCGTAGGTAATTTCTGCCATTAAATATCCTCCACCCCCACTGCCACCACCACGACAGTCCATGGTCCTTGTCCATGCGAGGCTGCTCTGCCACGGGAATATATGCTCCCAACCCTTATTAGCATAATACAGAAAAAATCAGGATCACTTAACTATGTTTAGGTGACCCACAAAAAACAAATCCATGAAACAAGAGTTAGGGAATGCCTCCATCACCGGGGCTAAGGGCTGGGGAAGAAGGATCATGAGTTTGAAGTCAAGTTGAGCGAATTCCTGACCCACTCAGTAACAATGTCTCCAAAACCAATCCAACTAGATACTGTTTCCCCAAGGCAACACCGCTTAAAGAAAAGCAAACCTTTCCCCCTTCGATTCTCATCAACTGAGCGAAACAACTCTTAAGAAAACAATTTTCGGCTGATTATAGCCAAGCCATAAGCCCCAAACGCAGTGCTCACAGAGTCGACACTGATTCAAGTTCACATTTCAGGGGTTCTCCCAATGCACTATTCAGCACGGCGCGTGCCGGCAGTCGGAGCCCAGAACTGTCAGGAGGTTGGCAAGTCAGCCGGGTGCGATGGTGCGTGGGCCCGAAGGGTGGACAGGAGCCACGTACCGGGCTCCGGACGTCTTCTCCACGGACTTCTGCAGCATTCTGCACTCCCGCTGCAGCGCCGCGACCTCCGCCTCCAGTACGCGCAGTTCGCGGGTCTCGGGATCCATGGCAGCACACGCCCAAGCCCGCAGCCGAAGCCTCGGCACTCAACTGTCTGGGAGCCTCGCTCGCCGGGCGCTTCGAGCAGCGCGCGCGCTCCGGGGCGGACCGTGCGGGAGCTCGCGGGGGTGGCGGGGTGAGGCTGTCGGCCACGCGCGCCCTCCCCCGCGGCTCAGCCAGCGTTCCAGATCCCCACGTCCCTCAGGACGTCCTGGGTGCTGTCCGGACGCTCCGGACTCTTCTGAGAGTTGGTTCGCTCCAAATCGAACGTGAAGCTCCGCTGGTCGGCCACCCCTCTAACGGCCTCTGGGATACCCGGACCCTTACGTCACCAAAGGGGCGGCCCTGGGAAGCACGAGGGAAAGAGTCTCTTTATTTTTGTTCCGCTTCCTCACTTCCGCCCGGAAGTCAGTACTCAATCACGCGGCGGCTTGTCTTCTCTGTAGGAAGTACGGATTTTTTTCCCCCGCTCCGGCAATTTTACAACGTGGAAGAGAAGGTAGCGGAACGTCAGTTACAGCGGAGGCAGACGAAATAAAGAGCCCTCGGGCACTGCGTGAAGGCGGAACCTTAGGAGACTGGGTGGGAAACCCCGTAGGAAGGAAAAGACGATGTGCCTGCTGGCACGTGTCAGTTCACGTAGGGGGCTACACCGCGCTTGAGTTGAGGGGTCCCGTCTTTAGAAGTGTGTTTGCGTGTGAGAAATGATGGGCTGTTGGGCCTAGCCTCTCCTCTCCTTCCTCGGGGATTCTCGGAGGAAGAAGGAGTGGTGAGAAGGATGGGACGGAGGCTGTCAGGAAGTGGCACACAGTAGCGCTCTCCCGGGCTCCTGCCGCTGTTTTGCGATCTCTCCTGAATGGAGTCAGCCAGCTTTTGAGGAAGGGTTGAGTGAGAGCTGAGCATCAGCTGACAGCTAAACGAGACGGAGGCAGCTCTGGAAAACTTTTCCAGCCACCTTGGTAGTATAGTGTTATAGTTCTAGGATCTGAAATTAGACCTGATTAATTAAGATCCTTGCTTCACCACTGTGGTTTTTTTAGGTGGCATGGGAAAAGTCTTAACCTCTGTGCTCCGCTGAACAGTGAGATTCACACAACTGCTTTGTACAATACAGACACACAGTGGGGGGAATAAACAACATTGTAGGTATGACATTAGTTGTCCTCTTTGTGCCTGAACAGCACTTTGGGAACACTTGTATTATGCCATACAATTGTAATTGCTGACTATCTTTGTTATGACTGTGGAGCTCCAGGATGGAGACATTTTTGTCAGTATCTGTTAAAATAAAAGTGAATGTACAAATGAATGGGGGGGGGGACCCCAGTACTGAGAATAAGAAAATGAAAGGGCTAATATAATAGCTGTGATTGTTTACAAAAAAACATCGGGGTGGGGGTGGGAATGCTGCACTTGGGTGCAGTTCCAAAGTACTTTGATTGAGACTGTGGATGTAGGGCCTTTGTAAAATGTCCAGGGATACAATCCAAAAGCAATTTAATATGAATGATGAGACATGGGTTCCATAAGACCAGCTTGGCACGGATGTTTCAGGAGAAAAAGTTGTGTTATATCTGTGAAAAACTAAGTGTTTTTCTGCCCCAAATTACTTTTCCAGATAGATGCCCAACATTGATGAAAGCCAGCAGAGAAATGAAGCGCCTCTTCGTGGGTGGACTTGGACAGGGCATTTCTGAGACAGACCTGAAAAATCAGTTCAGCAGATTTGGAGAGGTTTCCGACGTGGAGATCATCTCTAGGAAAGATGGCCAAGGTAAATCTGTAACCATTCTCTTGGGTAGTTAAAGTGCAACAATTTGGGTATTACAGGAGAATGCAACTCCAGAGCTGAATATTAGTGCTAAACATTAAAAATTATGTATGGTGTCTTGGAAGTATTGCCTATGAAAATTAATTTTGAAACAAGAAAAATTATAAAATAGTTAGATTTCCAAAACTTTTCTACTTTCAATTTTAGAAGTCAACATTCTAACATTATCTTATTAAGTAGATGTCACTAACGTATAATCCAGAGGTGTCTTGACTGATTATGAGGATTTTTTTCCTTACTCATTTTTAAAAATAACTTATTTATTTTTAATTTCATGTGTAATTAGTGTTTTGCCCGCATGTATGTCTGCATGAGAGTGTTGGAACTGGAATTACAGACAGTTGTGAGCTGCCATGTGGGTGCTGGGAATTGAACCAGGGACCTTTGGAAGAATAGCTAGTGCTCTTAATCTCTAAGCCATCTCTCCAGCCCCCTCCTTACTCATTTTATTTTGATATACTTTGATCATGTTTATAAAGATGCAGACTTTGTTCTGGTGTGGCAAAAAAATATTTTCTTTCAAAGAATAAATATCCATGAACTCACTTTTTAAAGTTTGAAAACTTTAAGGCCGGGCATGGTGGCACACACCTTCGATCCAGGAGCCTAAGGCAGGCAGATATCTGTGTTCAAGGCCAGCCTGGTATACATAGTGATTTTCAAGATAACCAGCACTATATAATAGAGACACCATATATCAAGAAAGAAAGAAAAAAAGAAAGAGCTATCGATTTGTTCGCTGAATAAAAATTTAAATCAGCTTAATTCTACTTATTTATTTATTCATTCATTTTTAGGAAATTCACATAAAGTCTTTGCGTATGTTAACATCAAAATAACAGAAGCGGACCTGAAAAAATGTAAGATCGTCGTGTATTCTTTTTTATTAAGTGTCAGTGTGGTTGTGTAATTTGAAATGACTTTGGTTCTATATCTAAGCCTCACTAATCACTTAATGAGTTCTGTAGATGACAACCTTGATGAAGAGAATTCTGGGGCCTACATCTCAGGTTTTAGATCATTCTTTTTGTGTTAGAAGACCTAGTATCACATGCTAGTAGGCTTGCTAGTATTTTCAAATAATTTAAACCAAAGGACCAAACTTTCATAGAAATTGCCTATCTACTTAGCCTACCTATCCTTAAGGCCATACTTCTTCTAAGTCTATTTGGGTTTTTTTTGGGGGGGGGGGGGGCAGCTAATTTTTTTGTCATTTAGACCTGTTATGAAAGGACATTAGACCTTGTTAGGCCATATCTTTGACACTGTAATACTCTTTGTTTTGTTTTATTTTGGTGTTCTTTTGTTTTTCAGGACAGTTCCTCTAGTGTAGCCTTAGCTGTCCTGGGTTCACTGTAAACCAGCCTGGCCTCAACTGCCTATGCCTCCCTGAGTGCTGGGATTATAGGCATGTGTCACCAAGCCTGGCTCAAGTGTGATATTCTTCTTATAAGATTAGTAAAGATAAGGGTAAATATCATCTTTCAGTGATTAAAATGAGGAGATGTTTTATTATTTTGTTGATGCAATTAATGTGTTCTAGTGTTTTGGAAGTCAAAACTAAAAGGACTGAAGAGCAAGTGACTGGAATGTGCCATTGGAAAAAACTAATCAGTCTTTTATAATTCCATTTTTGAAATATTATTTTTGGTGAGAGTATATATGAGATACTTTATTTAAACTTCTAAGTCAAGTAATGAAAAGATACAATACCTTATCTGATAATGTTACTCTAAGGATCAAATTAAGTAATACATTAGTATGTAGTAAAATATGTACTGCGTGGAAAATTTTGTTAGTGATTATATTAAGGAAGCTGACAATAGCTATTAGAAAGCTCAACTACTAGGGCACAACAATTGAACTATAGTTCAGTCATTAGCTAATGTGTGTAATAACTGGATTGAGATAAATGATTAAGGTGCTACAAGATCCTAAAATGTGCTCTAATTCACCCTGAAAAAATTTAATATTTTATTTGGTCTATGGAAAAATAACAAAATACTGAATACATAGTTATTTACCAGAAGTTCCTAAAATGAGTCTATAAAGGAGTTGCACATGAGGTTTGATTTACAGTTTATACATTATTTTCTCTGTTAGTCTTCAAGTAAATGAGAAATAGGGATCATAAGGTTCATAAGAAACCTGTAAGCTTGCTGTTGTTGCAGAGGCCCCAAATTCAGTTCCTAGTACCCACATGGGTGCCTCACAGTCACTGTGACTACAGTTCCACGGAATCCTTGACCTCCAGAAGCACCCACACACACAAAATAAAGATAAATCCTTTTTTAAAAGGAGGGAGGAAGCTGTTAACTAACAGGAGCCTAGGTTCTCTCTCTCTGGCTCACTTTTTCTTTTACATTTTGGTGTCTCTTTGTGACAAATAAGCCTTTTTTTTTTTAGTACTAAAATATGTGCTGAAATACAGTTTTACATTGCAGTGAACTTTGGCAATTCTTTACCTTATAGGTATGTCTATTTTAAACAAAACAAAATGGAAAGGTGGAACACTACAAATTCAGCTAGCAAAGGAAAGCTTTTTACACAGGTAAGATTTGCCTCCCACATATTTAAACCCACTTCTTTATAGTGTAATTGCTTTTATAACTGATGTGAGATAGTTTAGTAATGTATTACTAGTTGTCGTGATTACTTTCTCAACTTGATGCAACCTAGAATACCCTGGGAAGAGAATGTTAATGTGCTATTATTTACATCAGGTTGGGTGGTAGTTTGTTTGTGGCAGACTGTCTTGATTTCCTGCATTGATCTGGGAAGTCTGAGCCTGGTGCAATCTACTAGTTGTAGCCTTAGATTGCACAGAGATAGTTGAAGACTATGTGTGCATTCATTTATTCTCTCTCTGCTCTTTCCTGTGGGTGTGACTAGTTGCTTCAGGTTCCTGCCATGACTACTCTGTAGTGGACTATGACGGACTCTAATCCAGAGTTGTGGCCTTAGAGGAACCATTTCTCCCCTATGTTGCTTTTTATATGGGAAATTTTATTACAGCGACAGAAATGAAAACAGGACATTAACAGGTTTTTACCTTGCAAGTGTAGCTGAAGTCTTTTTCAGGTCTTTTCCTTCCGAGCTGCACAGAAGGAGAGTTCAGAGTCTTTGCACGTGCGTGTTATTATGTGGGTGTGCAGTTCTCCGTTTTCCTTTTCTAACACAGTCTTCTTAGGCTTTCCCTCCTTTATAACAACCATCTGCATGACACCAGAAATGTCTGCTTATCACCGTGGCTTTTTACATGAAGGACATTTAAACTGTTTCTACCTCTTGATATCTGTAGATGATCTGTGAGGATGTCTTATAAATATAAAAGTGTTTCTCCAGGGTTTATGTCAAAAGGTAGAGTTTCCTGAATCTTATGTTATTTCAGATGATTCTGTTACATATATTGATTTTTTTACCATCAAATGCACTGACATGCAAAGAAACAGAGAGAAGGTATAAACATGTGACAGTCTGTCTTAGTTACTATTCTACTGCAGTGACAAAGCATTCATTTGGGGGCTCATGGCTCCAGGGGTCAGAGTCCATAACCACGCATGGCAGCAGAGGGAAACATGATGATGATGCTGGAGCAGTAACTGAGAGCTTACATCTGATTGCGAAGTGTGAGTCAGAGAGGCAGCTGGGAATGGCTGGGCTTTTGAAACCTCAAACCCCACCCCCCAGTGACACACCTGCTTCAACAAAGCCATGCCTTCTAACTCTTCCCAAACAGTTCATTGACTGGGGATCAGACGTTCAAATATATGAACCTATGGGGCCATTCTCAGAGACATAAGAATAATTCTGCTTGTGATTTTATAGCAGGATTGTATAACAAATATTAGAGCTTTCGCAGTCATAAAGCTAATTTTTCAGAGGGAAAAGATTAGACTCATTTGGGAATTCTCAAAATGGGAAACATCTAAGAATATATAGATGAAAGGGTTGGATATGTAGTCATGATAGGTTGTTTAGCATATATGACATCCTGGATTTCACACCAGCCTGATAGTTTAAAAAAAAAAAAAAAAGAATATATCAGTGGAGCTGATGGGTTTTGATCTCTTATCTGCCATGAAGAGAGCTGAGGCATCTCCTGTAGCAGAGCACAGGGGTGGGAAAGACTATCTAGACTGCATTGTGTTTGTGAATAAAATGGAAGTTGATGTTAACAAAATGTGGGACTAAAGAAATACTTGGTTTTCTTCACTTTCAATGTTTCACAGTCATTCTATAAGAATGTTTGTGTTTAGAAAATAATTTAATTATTCAGGAAATGTTTTAGCCAAGGCAAGGGTATCTCTGTGAGTTCAGGGCCAGCCTGGTCTACAGAGAGAGTTTTAGGACAGCCAGGGCTACACAGAGAAACCCTGTCTTGAAAAACAAAATAAATATTTTATTTTAATATTATAAAGATGTTTTGGTGCTCATAGTTCCTAAATGGCATCCCTAAACATTTTCATGGCTGATTTGTTTTTATTTGACCTTCATTTCAGATTAGCCCAAGAAAGAGAAGAGGCAAAGAAAGAAAAATCAACCACTGGTAGCACCACCTTTTTGGAAAAGATGGGAGGAATAGACTTCCATATGAAAGCTGTGCCTGGAACAGAGGTACCAGGACATAAAGTGAGTCTCCTTCAATAGACTGTGCCAACTATGTCTCCTAAGACCTTACGTTTGTAGGTGTGCTAACCAAAGCTGATGCATTTTTTCCACTTTGGAGCAGTTAGGATATAGGTTGGGGCTTTTGCTTGTTTTTCATTTTCAACATGCATTTTTAAGTCTTTAGTCAGCACAACTTTCCCACCAGTTTATATATAGAGAAATGCAAATCAGGTGGAGACACTCCCTAAGGACATAGGTGCTAAGATGGACAGGCAGGTCCCAAGATTGCTTTTTTTCCACTTGCTTCAGAACTATTTGTGTTTTTATTGTTACTGTTTTAGGAATTCATACGTGCATATAATGTATTTTGATCAAATCCAGTTCCTATTCAGGTCTCCTCTAGTTTCTCTCTGATCTCCACCACTACTTTTTCTCCCAACTTAATATGTTATCTTTTTTTAAAAAACGCACTGAATCTCCTTATTACTTGCCTGTATGTGTATAGGTTTAGACCATCTACTAGTGACTTTCAGTGGCCATATCCCAGAAGAAAACTTGAATCTTCTCTCCCAGGAGCCCTCAATTGCAGACAGCTAGGGTTGGGACTTCTGAGTCCTTATTCCATCCATGCTGGGATTTTGGCAGGCTTGGTGGTGTACAGGTCTTACATGTGCCATCACATATCCCAAGCTAACCTCAGATACTTAACTGAGGATCAGTCCTGAGTGCTGAGATTACAGGTGTGTCCCATCCACATCCAGTTCATGAAGTGCTGGGGATAGAACTCAGGGTTTCTTGCACTGTGCATGGCTCAGTGGCTGCATTTTTAATAGCTGTATGTGTGTGTGTAAAATACTATCCAGGATGCAGCTGGAATTGTTATTTTTTGTTTCTTCATACTTTTCCTTTTTGAGAGCGTTTATTGTCAAAACTAAACACAGTAACAATAACCCATTGTGAGTTCAACTTTTAAAAGATTACATTTATGTATTATTCTTTTGTTTATATTTATGATAATCGTTAAATCTTTTTTTCTTTTAGAATTGGGTTGTGAGTAAATTTGGAAGAGTCTTACCTGTTCTTCACCTTAAGAATCAACATAAACATAAAATATCCTTTTGTCAATATTTCACAGTAATTATTATTTCCCAGAGTGATGGCAAAATATCTTTAGGATTTCACTGCCTGATCAGTACATTTTTATTGTTTCAGCATGTTGTTACTTCTACAAGGTAAGCTCTAAGCCATCTACAGGTATAAAGCACTTTGATAATAATGGGGGACATGAAGTCTTATGTAGTTAAATGATATTCGTTTGTTAATGTATATTATAAATCTTAATACAAGCAGGGCGTGGTGCTTAATGCCTTTAATCCTAGCACTCCAGAAGCTGAGGCAGACAGATATCTTTGAGTTCAAGCCTAGCCTGACCTATATGGCAAGTACCTGGCCAACCAAGACTATGCGTGTAGTAAGATCCTGTCTCAAAAACAAACAAAATCTTATTATATAGGGATTCACAAGACATCGCTGATGGACCAATGCAAGAATAGAAAATAAGGGGTCATTGTTAAAGAAGACTCAGGAGGAATTGTTAGAATAAGTTGGTTCTAAAAAGAAGATACTAGATAAAAATAGGCTGATATGTAAGAAAATAGTATATGGAGAATTAGTAGAGTCCAAGTGAGCAAATTCTGATATCTATTCCATGAGGTCAGTTATCTGAGAGCTTGAAAAGCTGGTATCCTGGGCTTCTGTGCAGAGGGTGTGTATATATATTAGAGAGTTTGCTGTAATATTTATTTAACATCAAGTAATTTCTTTCAGCTGATAGTGATGGTGCTTCATTTTAGCTTTGGGTGTTCAGTATCATAGATCCTAGAAGCTTGCCTTGTAGAATCCTCATTTAGTTTGTTTGGAAATTTAAAGTAGATGAAATAAAGAACTTTTCCAATATTAAACAGTTTTCCTCTTTTACCAGATTGGTAGGTTTCTCTATTACCTGGTGCTTTTGTCTTTTCCTTAACTGAGTAACATTATGAAATATGATCCATCAAAGTACTGCCACAACCTAAAAAAGATATCGGAGGATTTGACAGAACCCATTCCCATATCTGACCTCACTTGGGAATTGGAAGGAGGCAATGACCCTATGAGTAAGAAACGTCGAGGAGAGTTTTCTGACTTTCATTTCCCTCCCCAGAAGATCAAGAAAGTACAGAAGAGCAAGGATCCCATGGAGTCCAAAGTTTCTGGCATTAGTCTAAGGACTAATCAGGTGATGGAAAATAACAAATCAGCACAGCCTATGACTACACACAGGACAGCCGCTGGTACTATTACTCCTTCTAAATCATGCCTTGTGTCCAGTTCTGGTACTCAGAAACCTAAACATGTGGGTTTTCATACTTCTGACTTTGAAATTATCCAGAATAAAAGTAGCATGTCTGATGATGACGTTGACTCAGAAGATGAATTAAAAATGATGATTGCAAAAGAGGAAAACTTACAGAAAACTAGGCATTGCTTAGTAAATGAATCTGAAAATGATTCTTTTGAAGTTGTAAGGGATGATTTCAAATCAAATATTCACAAACCTCATTCTTCAACCAGTTTAGGAAATAATTGTGAATATGACTCAAGCGATACAGATGAAATTATTGCAATGAAAAAAAACACTGGTAAGGTCAAAAACAGTACAGAATTTTCACAACCTGAAAAGCCTATAAACAAGAAAAGTTCTTCTAAAAATATAGAGCCTTCTAATGATTGTATTAAAGTACAAAAAACTAAAATCAACAATGAATCAGCTCCGCATCACAGAGTAAAGTTTTTGAATCCTGTATTTCCACCTGACTCTGATGTCAGTGACAGTGAAGAGTCTGAGGAAGATGAAGAATATAAAGCCTTGATGAAAAACTGTCCCCGTTTGAGTCTCACTCTGGCTGATTTGGAGCAGCTGGCTGGCAGTCATCAGAAGGTTCCAGGAAAAGATGAGAACAGTGGCCCACAAAATACCAATCACTGCAAATTTGACACAACCTCCAAGAGTCCCAAGACTTCTGGTGACGTGTACGATGGCCGACAGTGCATTCTTCCTGAGGAGATTGTGGCCTCCCTTTTAGAGGAAGAGAGCACTTGTAGCAAACAAAAACCAGAGGAAAACACATTAAAGCCCAAATTCCAGGCCTTCACAGGAATAGGCTGTCTCTATGCAAAGGACTCAGTGGGCAAGACTTTGAAAGAGACTGTTGCCGTCAGTACTGTCAATGAACATCAGAATTCTTTGAAACACGAAGTTCCCAATAGAAGTTTTATAGAAAATGGATCCACGTGTGCTAATGGTTCATCAAGCAAACTGACTTCATGCCAACCTGCAAAGGTGAACAGCCCAAACCACATTCAGCCTCCAAAAAGACAGTATTCTTTTGAGAGCCAGAGCCATCAAGTAATGTCCTCTACTAGTTTTGACAAGGGAAGTAAAAATTCTCTCTCATGTCTGTTGCCATTAAAAGCTAAAAAGTCCCTATGTCTTAGTGCAAACAGCCACAAGACAGACTCTGATGGAGACACTTGCCATCAGTCTGGAAGTAGAAAAACTTCAGAGAAACAGGGGTCTGAGTTAAGCAACCTCACATCTTTTGAGAAACCACCAGAGGTGTCTCCCAGGAAAGACTCCCAGAAAAGCACAGCTGGTTTCTCACTTGGTGATTCATGTATGAATACTAATGACAAACATGCTGAAGATAATCAGAAGCGATTGGCAGCCTTGGCAGTGCGGCAGAAAGCCAGAGAAGCACAGAAGAAACTGGTGCACAATGCACTGGCAAATTTGGTGCGTACATTTTCATTTTACGGATTTAACAAAAATACTCTCAAGGTCCAGGTTCTCCTTTCTGTGAAGGCAGTTGTGTTCTCATAGAGCTTATGGTCGTCTTTGTACTCACTACTTAATAATTTATGTCCTTGAGGTAAAAGTTTATATCATCTGTACTATTTAGTTTTATACTAAAAGGTTGCAAAATTAAATTGAAAATATTTTAAAGTTATCTAAAATTCTATAACCTCATTAAGAAACTAATTTGTATAGAGATTATAGGAGGAGTAATGTAAACCTTGATGCTATTTACTGTAATGAGCCTTTGTTCATTCCTCTAGCCGTGAAGTCTGCTTATAAGTGGTAGATTGACAGAATAATGGTTAAATGCTGACAGCCATGCAGCTATTGATGCATCTTGTGGCATGCAGGCAGTCACAGTCTCTTGGAACATCAAACTGGTTAGGTTTCCTTAACCCATACTGAGTAGTGTGAAGGGATTAGAAGGAATTAGAGAGATGTTAAAAAGCAGCAAGGAAGAAGAAACATCTTACTGCAAAAGCCATTTGTCTAAAAGTCAGGGTTTTTTTTTAGCGAGATTAGTATTTATACACAATGTCAAGGTAGAAAATGAAGCAGCATTGATTAAGAAGGATGAGTTAGGCTACAGAGGTTTGGACTTTATTCCTAAAGCTATGAAACACTGAAGAGTTTTGATCAAGTCATTAAAGATTAGTTGTATACATTTTGAAACAGGAATTGGCACATTACAATACACAGGGCATCTAGCCCAAACAGTTTTTAATATACAACAAAGACTGTCTGCCTACAGTATCTAAAATGTTTACTCTGAATCTTCAAAGATAAAGTTTGTCAGCCTCTGTTTTGGAAATCTTTCAGGCCATGACATAAAAAAATAAATATAATGAGTCAGATCTGGCAGCAAGTAGAACCTTGCAGAGGTCGAGGACCACAGCCATGGCAATAGTGGTTCTTAAAGGTACCGATGTTAAATTAATAGAGATTGGTTGTTACTAGATACAGAGAGAATGGAGGCTTGAGGTTCTACCTTGGAGAAAAAGCAGATGATAATTCTCCTGAATGAGGAGAAGCATAAATGATGGCAGAAGAAGTTGATGGAGGTAGACATCGGTATACAGTTGGCTGTCATGAAATGTAATGTGCTTGTGTTTCACTAGGATGGTCATCTAGAAGACAAAAAAACACACATTGTCTTTGCTTCTGATGATGAAAGTGAAACAGAAGACACAACCACTCAGGTGCAAAGCTGTCCAGGAGAGGAGCTGGTGAAAGTAAGGCCTTCCAAACATTAATCTACTTTGCAGATTCTCTGTTTTGTTTTGTTTTTGTGGTATGGATGCTATCTTGCCCAGGATGCCTTTAAACTTTGAAAACTTCTGTTTCAGTCTGTACTATAATGTGTACCACACCCAGCTGTATGGTACAAAAAGAGCTACACACAAGTACCATTTCTGCATAATGTTAGAGGCCAGCTCTAACAGTATGTTCAGCAGTTCAAGGAGGGGATGTGGGGGAGCGATGAATGTAGGCACGAGTGTACGCACAGGCATCCGTGCGCACACATACACACACACTTGATAAATAAAGCAAGGCTCCAACAACTTTATTTTTTCCCCTACAGCTTATACAGCCTGGCTGTATAAAATAAAAAATAAAAATTACAGTGTGGTTATGTTCTTTTTTTTTTTTCAAGTGAATGATTTCAGCGAATATATATTTTTTAAAAAACCGGCATGCTTATGTGTATTACAGGTGAAAAACATTATTCCTAAGAACCCACATACATTCTTATCTAAGAAACTTGTTGTAGGTTAACAAAGTGTAAGCAAGCAAGCTGTTTTATCAACCAGTTTCTCTTACTTGGAGGCTGCAATTTGCAGTTACAGAGAAAGAATCAATCATCTTAAAAAGTAATCGTATAGAAAAATCTTAAGCAAATCACAAATCTAAACCTTTATTTATTAAAAACACAACCAGCTGTCACTGCACTTGTCAGTGGAACATCCTAAGGACTGTGGTGAGAACCAGAGTTGCCCAAGCCACCATCCCTGAGATGTCAGGGTCATGGAGACTTTTCTCATCCATGAACCTGTTTATTACCTCATATGCAAAGTCATGTCAGTATTCATGCTAGACTGTAGAGAGTGTTCTTGCATGTAATAATAGCAGTCCAGGAGTCCGTCAACTCTCCCTGAGTTGGGAGTCTTCATCTACTTCACCACACACTTTTCCCTAACGATGTGTCTGTGCTGCCAGGTTTTAATTGTGGGATAATATTGCATTATGAAGGAAATGCTGATGACTTGGTTCATTTAATACACATTCCTGTTTTCACCTGTCTAACAGGAGTCCCTGAGTAAAGCATCTGGGAAGCTGTTTGACAGCAGTGATGATGAAGAGTCGGAGTCCTTGGAAGACAGCACCAGATTCAACATTAAACCTCAGTTTGAGGGCAGAGCTGGCCAGAAGGTTAGTGAAGACTGAACATAGAAACAGCAGCAGCATATCTTAAGTGTTGAAGGTAGTCCTTAAGTCTAGTTAAGGAAAGGGGACAGTTCTAGGGTGGGTTATTTATTGTGGGAGTAAATTCTCTCACCTCTTACTGGTTCATGGGCAGTGCAGTTATGCAGATGGTAATATGAATTCTGGCTGTGAGGCCGTACTCTTAGAGACTTGTTTAAATGTGCTTACCATGACAATGTCTTTTTCCATGTAGCTCATGGATTTGCAGTCTCATTTTGGAAGTGATGAGAGATTCCGCATGGACTCTAGATTTTTAGAGAGTGACAGTGAAGAGGAACAGAACGGTAACTATTTCATTGTCTCAACAGTGCTGCTGTCAAAGCCAGGGATGTAAAAAGTCACTGTGTTTCTCCTTCAGTTAACACAGGAAGAAATTACTCCAAAATAATTGAATTGAGTTTGTAGCCAGATGTTTACTTAATAATTCTTAAATTTCTTTATATATTTTTAGTAAAACTTACACTAAATCAGAAACCACAGAATGACTAATTGACATTAGCTAGGATAGTCTTTGTCTTGCTGTGGTGTACATATGGGTGCTTGTTATGGGATGGTTGGCTTGTGTTAGGATGCTGGTTCATTTGTTGTCTTCTGTTCTCTCTAAGTAATAGCCCAGCCTGGCATCAGTCTTGTGATCCTCCTGCCTCAGACTCTTACTTAGATTACGGCAGTACACCACCACTCCCAGCTAGGTGCTTATGTTTATTTTCACGTTTCTTTATTTTGTGTGTGTGTGATCACACTTGTGCCACATTACCCATGCGGCATTCAGGGAGAAGACTGGTGCTGGTTCTCTCCTTCCACCATGTGTACTGTGGGCCCCAAATCAAGTTACCAGGCTTGGAGGCAACACCTTCTTCCTCTGAGCCATCTTGCCAGCCCATTTTTAAATCCATTATCTGGCATGCATTCTTATTTGGTGTCCATAAGAGTGAGGATATCATCAGAAGTGTCATAATTTTACTTCCTGCGAGACTTTGCATAGCAGTGAGTCCAATTTATCTTCAAGACCGACCCATCACTTAGCCACCCTGAGTGAGTCCCCAAGCCCCTGCATGCTTCCCAGTTGCTTTGCAGTTGAGAACTGCAGTCCTAGTGTAGCTTTCATGTTCTCTGCTTCCTGAATAAATCTGATATGCACCTCTTGTGTTTTGTCTAAAGCATTTCTTTGTCCAGCTCAATACAGTTATGTTTTGAACCTCAGACAATTGCAGAGCAAATGTTTTGTAGAGAACATAAGTCAGATTAATTCCAGCTTCTGTTTTAAATGATTCTCTGCAGTAATCTGCTATAATCTGTCTTGACAGCAGATTTTTATGTTTCTTTTACCTAAACTCACTATTAGGCTTTGTTCTCTAGTATTTGTCTGTCAGTTAAAGGTGGCAACTTCTGCAGTTGATATGTGTAAAGGACACGCTCTTCTTTCTGCAGAATTTGCTACTGAGCCAAAGACTGAAGCAAATGTTACATGCGTGGCCATCAAAATTGACTTAACAGTTGTCATTTTTAAACTCAAAGTATAATTAGAATGTTAAGAACTATCAGTCTGTACCACTTTGGTTCTATAATCTTGCTGTGTTACATTTTTTAGTCTTTAAATTTTTTAGACTTGCCACCAAAGACTTAAATAAAGATTTTTTTTTTTTTTTTTTAAGATAGGGTTTTGCTGTGTAGCTTGGCTGTTTTGAACTCACTTTGTAGATCAGGCTAGCCTTGAACTCACAGAAATCCACCTGCCTCTGCCTCCCAGAGTGCTGGGATTATAGGCTTGTGCCACTACTGCCCTGCTAAATCTTATTTTCTCATTTGCAAATAGAAGTGGGATATTTCATTTGTAGTCATGTGATTTCTAAGTTTTTGTGGGAAGAAGTCCTGGAGAGAGGGAGATTAACAAATAAGAGATTAACTTTGTAATTTGGTGTAGTTTGAATATGTTTGGATGCATACTTGATGGAGATTTCTCTAGCAATGCTTGTCGAGAAATCACTTGTTATTCTTTTTCCTCAGAGTTAAATGAAAATAAGATGCATGAAGATGAGCTTGCTGCAGAAAGAAAGAAAAGCCTGAATGTTGTCCAAAGTGTTTTGACCATCAGTTTGAACAACCCTACCAGCAAAGGATCAGGAGCTGCTAAGAAATTTAAGTATGCCTTATGTTCTGTCCCATTCATATTGTTTCCTTAGCAATAAATGCCTAGTGAACTTAATTAAAAATTAATTTTTTTGTTTTGTTTTTACTCTTGAGATGCTAATGGTCTAACCTTGAGCCTTGCATTTGCCAGTCCCTTGCTTTTCCAAAACCTGAGCTCTACCCCCAACCCAGCTGAGTCTTGTATAAACTACTGAAGAGAGCAGTTGTCAACATATGTCAAACTTTCGAAAGTCTTTCTCTTTAACCCAGTGATTCACTTTAAGAAACTACTTTTAAGGGCAGCCATGGTAGTGCCCACTTTTATCCCAGCAACTCAGGAAGCTGAGGCAGGTGGATCTCTTGTTCGAGGCCAGCTTGGTCTATAGAGTGAATTCCAGAACAGCTAGGGCTACACAGAGAAACCCTGTGTTTTTGTTTAAACAAAAACAAACACAAAAGAAAAAAACTAATTTAAAATAGTTTTTATATTACGCGCATGATGTCATAAAATCGTTACTTTTACTGGTTAACCAATTGGAAGTGACTTTAAATATCTATGAAATTGTTAAGCTGTATAAATAAAACTATTATGGAAAATTTCAAGTATGTACTTTAAAGACATTGGTTGCATTGGTTCTCAACATGTGGGTCGTGACCCCTTTGAAGGTTGCATATCCGATACCTGCATATCAGATATTATAATTTATATATATTTATATTGTAATTCATAACAGTAGCAAAATTAGTTATGAGGTAGCAATGAAATAGCTTTATGGTTTGGTGTCACCATGACATGAGGAACTGTATTAAAGGGTCACAACATTAGGAAGGTTGAGAGCCACTGGATTAGTGTAATATAACTTCTAGATACCTTGGATCCGGCTTCTAACTGGGTGTCAGCATGTGACTAGTTTTCCACACCTCATTTAAATTTTTAAGATTTATTTATTTAATTATGTATATAGTGTTCTGCTTGCAGGCCAGAAGAGGATACCAGATCTCATTATAGATTGTTGTGAGCTACCATGTGGTTGCTGGGAATTGAACTCAGGACCTCTGGTACAGCAAGCAGTGCTCTTAACCTCTGTGCCATCTCCCCGGCCCTCATTTAAACTTCTATTAACTACTGAAATGTATTTTGTGCAAGTTCTGGATAGTGTATATTTTATCTATATATGTCTCTGTATGTTCAAAACTTTTTTCCCCTTATAATTTGGTTATCGAAATAAGATCTCACTCTGTCACCCAGGTTGGTCCCATATAGGTGACAGTAGTCTTGCCATCACTGCATGAGTTCTGGGATTGCAAGTGTACACCCACAATCTTCAGCTCTCAGATACTTGTTTCTGTTTTGTTTTTCAAGACAGGGTTTTTTAGATAGCCTTGGCTGGCCTGGAACCCTTCTCTGTAGCCCAGGCTGCCCTCGAACTCATAGAGATCCACCTACCTCTGCCTCTTATGTGCTGGGATTAAAGGTTTGCACCACCATTACCCAGCAAGGTAATATTTTATACATATGTCTGTGTGTGTGTGTCTTTAGGTCAGAAGGTAGCTTTGAAGTCCCTCTTTCCTTCCACCAGGTGGGTCTTGAGGCTTAAACTCAGGTCTTTATAGTAGCAAGTACCTTTACCTAGTGAAATAAAATATTTTTTGGTTTTAGTTTTTGTTGTTTCTGAGACAGGGTCTCTAGGTAGGCCTGGCTGTGATGGAGTTCACATATGCCTGCCTCTGCCTTTTGATTGCTGGGCTTAAAGGCATGTGCCACCACTCCTGGCTGTAATTTGTAAGGTTAAAAAGGATCCAGGAAAACTCAAATGGTTTTAAATGTTTATAACAAGATTATAATTTTTCTCTTTGATGAACACCATTTAGCTTCATTTTGCTGCTGCTCCCCTCCCCACCCACAGTTTGCTTAACAGTTGCTGGAATAGAGTACTAAAAGCTATTTAAAGGAAAAGGGGATTATTTCAACTCAGTTTGAGATTGCAGCCCATCATGGTGGAAATGTTAGACTGGCAGACTGAAGGATCTGGCTGAATCACTCATCAGAAAGAGAGCAATGAATGCCTGTGTGCTTGCAGTTGGCTAAGTGTCTCCACATTCAGTGTCTCCTGCCTAGGGAATGCTGCTATCCACAGTGACTGAGGCTTCCCACCCCAAGTAATGTAATCAAAAAAATCCACTAACGTGCCCACAGCTCAACCTAGTAGAGACATTCCTTTGTTGAGACTCTTTGAAGGTGATTCTTCATTGTATCAAGTTCACAAGTAAAATTGCCCCTCACAGCCCCTAAATTAGAGGCTTTGTAGTAACAAATTGTGATTGAATTTGTAGTGATTAAATTCCATTAATGTTTGAATTTATCTCTTCCAACCTTTATTCTTTTTACATAGGGACATCATACATTATGATCCAACAAAGCAAGACCATGCCATTTATGAAAGAAAACAAGAAGATAAAGAAAAAGACAGGTAAATTGGGGTCTGTTTTTCTTCAAATTCCAATGACACTGCTGAGTTAATGACTTTAATAAGCTACATAAAAACGTTTCAGTTTGAACAATTGAAGTTCCTTAGCTATGTCTAGGGCTTTATTCAAAAGATTTTGTTTTATTTTTGAACTGAAGTCTATAGATTTTTCTGTAAAGGGAGTAATTGTGACTAAATTAGGCTTTGCAGGTCAGATAGGTTCTGTTATAAATATTTCTCTTTACTTTGGTAGGAGAAGTTGTGAACATTGAAATTTGTGTCATGTAATTTTATTTGTGTGGATGTCCTGCCTACATGTACATCTATATAGGCACATGTGCATTCGTGGTACTGTAAGGCTGGAGGGGGTGTGGAGTGAAGAACTGAATTTGCATACAAACTGAGGTTACAGACAGTTGGGAGCTGTCATATGGTTGCTGGAAATTAAACCCAGGTCCTCTGGAAAGATAGTCAGTGCCTTTAACTGCTGGGCCAGTTCCCATATATAATTTTTGCATAATGGGAAGTATTTTTTCATCAATTATTTCAAACTATGGAAACCATACTTGGGGGCTGGAGAGATGGCTCTGTGTTCTGAGCACTTGTTGGTCTTGCAGAGGCTCCAGCCTCTGGTGGCAGCTTATAACCATCAGTAATTCTAGTCCCAGGGCGGCCTGTGCTTTCTTCCTACCGCTGTAGCCCCAGGCATGCAAGTGGTTCACTTGCATACATTGCAGGAAAAGCACTCAATATGTAAAAATAAATAAACAAATCTCTAAAAAGGAAAAAAACATTAAGTGAAAAGTAAGCAATTAAGGGATAAATGGTCTAGATTTGATATTGATCACAGAAGTTTACCAGTTTATGCTTTAGATAATGTTTTCATAGATTTGATGTTTGCTTAGGAACCATTTCTTAAATTTCCTGTCATTTGCCTCCTGAAGATTATAAATTTTCAAACTTATGGCTGGTTCCATAAGTTTGTAAAAAACAGAAAAAATCTCTCCCTTTTATTTTTACTCTTTCCTTTTAACACTTGACTATAAGTAACAAGAAGAATACACAAAATATCTTCAGTGGTTTCCTGAATATCTCTTTAGCTTTAGATTTCCATGCCGTTTATGTATAAGCCATATTTTCTATATTGCCACAGGTATCAATGTTTTTAGAATTCCTCCTCTAATTCCCAAAACAATTTCCACCCCAAGCAAGTAGCTATGTGAAGTTTACTTTTCCTGGTGTTTAGAGACTCTTCAAAACTTGTCTTTGTTATGCGCTTGTCTGTGTATGTCATTTCAGTAAAGCGAAACGGAAGAAGAAAAGGGAAGAAGCTGAGAAGCTGCCTGAGGTATCCCAAGACATGTATTACAACATCGCTACAGATTTGAAGGAAATATTCCAAAGCGTGAAAAGCACAGATGAAAAGGAAGGTGACGTGCCCTGGAATGAGGATTGTGGCAGACAGGAAGCTGAGGAAATGAGGAGTGCTGTAACACTGACAAGTGGGCCAGAGCAGACCAGGGGCTTCACGTTCTCTTTCTTTGATTCAGATACTAAAGAAATAAAGGAAGGTATGTATTTTTGTTTGTTTTTCCTACTTTTTTAGTTCAGTCAGATGGAACTTAGTTGGATTTACAGTAAATATAATGGATTTCATGTTCCTCAGTGAAAGGATGCTTTTTTCAGTCTGCATAAGGAACAAGAGATTCAGTGTATCCTGATTATGGATTGGACGTTCCTACAGGTGTGAACAAAATGCTGGTTTTGCATTGAAAGGAGCAGACTGCTCCAGCCGACTGTTGTGAGTGGAGTCAGGAACAAGCAACCACATCATTAACAGCTTCAGCCCTTTTGGCTTTTACAAATATGCCATGTCATCAATATGCCAGTTATTTCAAAGCTTACTGTTTTAGAGTTGATAGAATGTAGAAAACAATTTTGCATCCTATTTCAGGATATTTATCTTAAAGACCAAGAAGTTCCATTGATAAGCAAAAAATAAAAATGAAACACCTCTCCCCACCTTTTTTTAATTTTAAAAGCGTGTGTGGCTGGATATGGTAGTGCACACCTGTAATCCCAGCCCTCAGGGAGGCAGAGGCCTCGGGGAATTCAAGGCCAGCCTGGTCTACACAGTCCAGGACAGCCAAGTCTACAAAGAGAAATCCTGTCTCAGGCGAAAAAAAAAAAAGTGTGTGTGTGTACATGCACGTGTGCGTGCATGCGTGTGTAAAAGGGGGCAGGATTGCTTGGAGCTAGATTTACACCACCTGGACCGGGAGCTGTCTGGCATGGTGCTCTTTTGGGTCTTCTGAAAGCAGAAAGTGCTCTTAACCACTAAGCCGTCTCTCTAACCCTTCATTTTTCCTTTTGAAGACGGGGTCTTACTGCATATCCCACCATGTAAGTCAGGCCAGCCTCAAACTTGGGGTATTTTGCCTCAGCCTCCTGAGTGACAAGATAATAATGTGTGCCACACCAGGCTGAGACACTTTTTCAGAAAACTTTTCCTTACCCAGTGTTGAAGATGTATGTGCAGCTTTGTGAGTGTTTGCTATAAAAGGCAGGATGGATCTACCCAGCACCAGCTACGCACAGCTGACTTCAGTGATTGCTTCAAACATCAGCATTTAAAATAGAAGTGCATGGGGCTGAGAGGTGGCCCAGCAGTTAAGAGCCTGTTTTCTTCTTACAGAAGACCCAGGTTTGGTTGCAGTACCCACATGAGGTGCCTCACAAATTCCTGCAACTCCAGCTCCAAGGGGCTCCAATCCCTCTGGCTTCTGGGGGCACTTATACTCACTAACACATACACAAAATTAAAATTTTTTAAAACCACTATGTGTTTAACATGTCAAATTTCAGCACTATACTACTCCTAAAATAGCTAAAGAGACACAGTAGCTTTTCCAAAATGCAAATGAGATGCATTGTAACCTGTTTCTACTTTATGTTTTTCTTTGTGGTTAGATAAGTGACAGTTGAATAGAATATGAAATCTAAATACTGTAACTTTTTTTGGGAAATAAAATGGCCCTATAATTACTCTTAGATACAAGCAATCTATTTTTTAAAGTAGTTGGAAACTTGGGGAGTTGTGAGAGATTGGGCAGCAGTTCTAGGAAGCAGTTTGAGAGTTGAAAACATAAACATGAGTTCCTTTTTTTATATATGAATAAGCAGGAAGAGACTACTTTCATTGTCTCTTGTTGTAGACCTCTTTTTTTATGTTTTTGTTTTGTCTTGTTTTTTGAGACTGAGTCTCTCTACATAGCCATACTTGTTCTGGGACTCACTTTGTAGACCAGGCTGGCTTCAAACTCACAGAGATCCACCTGCCTACTGAGTGCTGGGATTAAAGGTGTGCACCACCATGCCCAATCCTGTATGCTTATTTTAACAGCACCTAAACTGTGCTTGCTTATTCTTTGAAAACATATTGCTCATCTATAAACTTTTAGCTCTTTTTATACTGTTATATTCTTTATTTGATCACTCTAAACAGTGGATTTTAGTATTTAATTTTTTTAAAGATAATGCTACTTATTTTAGGCTCAGTGGTAGCATATTTGTTTAGCATGAGCAATGCCCTGGATTTGTGCTCCAAAACTAGAGGATAATACCTGTTTTGCAATTTTAGGAATTTAGTCATGTTTGCATAGTATAGGTAGTCAATTTACTGAGTTTAGAAATACACGGTTGCTCAGTCATAACTGCATTGCCGTTTCTTGTCATAATAATATAGACACATATAGAATTGAACCAGTGAAACGTGGGAAGGTGGTTTGTCAGGAAGATCCCCGATTCCAAGATAGTAGTTCAGAAGAAGAGGATGTTACTAACGAAGACGATCACAGAAAGGCCAGCCTGGGGTAAGCAGTTTGTGTGTGAGCATGTGTTATGGCTTCTAAGGTCAGAGTCAGACATGTATCAGTAGCAGTACTCAAGCATCTTGAACAAAGTTTACCCAGACCTTTTTGAAAGACAGAGTGATTTTTACATGGCAGCTTGTGGCAGATACAGCACGTACACGGCAGTGAGATTGATGGGAACATTCCTGGTTTGGAAATCAGATGCTACAGCTGACCTAGGTACCAGCTGGGAACACTGGCAAACAGGGTTAACAATGGGAATGAGTATTGACATCCAGAGTTT